AGCAGAACGGTAGCTAAAACCTGATTGTAGCAGAACGGTAGCTAAAAGCTGATTGTAGCAGAATGGCAGCTAAAATCTGAATGTACCAAAATGGTAGCTAAAAGTTGAATGTAGCAGAATTGTAGCTAAAAGCTGAATGCTAAAGAATGGCAGCTAAAATCTGAATGTACCAAAATGGTAGCTAAAAGTTGAATGTAGCAGAACTGTAGTTAAAACCTGAATGCAGCAGAATGGTAGCTAAATAGATCAAAAGGCTAGCTATACGTAGTAAAAGGGTGGCTACAAGCAAAAAGCATCCAATAGGCTTGCTAAAAGCTGATAATAGCAGAACAGTTGCAAAAACCTGATTGTAACAGAATGGTAGCTAAAAGCTGAATGTAGCAGAATTGTAGCTAAAAGCTGATTGTAGCAGAATAATAGTTAAAACCTGAATGTAATAGAATTATAGCTAAAAGCTGAATGTAGCAGAATGGTCACTAAAAGCTACTTGTAACAGAATTGTAGCTACAAAATCATTGTAGTATGGGAAGACAAATCAAGCCCGTAGCTGAAGCAGATTTTAAATAATTTTTGTTGTTGTTGAAGGAACTGAAGACGGCTCTATGTATTTCTACAGGCAAAATACTTCTAAATAAATTAAAATATTCTGAAAAGTTAAAAAGATAAAACAACCAAAAGTCACAGCACCCATATCTTGAATGAGCTGAACATTTTGACATAACAGCTAAAATATGCAGAACTATTTAGATTGCAAAAATACACAGTGATTAAATCAACTCTGAGCTGAAACTGCAGCTGATCAGATGCTTTCTGAATGACTTAGTTTCAGTATCTTTGATTTTAAAAAGTTCTTCTTAAAATAACAGATTGTTATTTTGGCCGCTGTTTGTAGCCGAAGGTAATTTTTAGATCGAGGACAAAGTGATCTGACGTAAAAAGAGCGCACATTTCTCACTTTGAACTGGTTAGAAATGTTTTCAGCAGCGTATAATTAGCCTTATATGTGTGACAGGGTCTATATTTTTTGTTGCAATCTACAGTGCCTTGTGAAAATATTCGGCCTCCTTGAACTTTTCAACCTTTTGCCACATTTCAGGCTTCAAACATAAAGATATAAAATTTAATTTTTTGTGAAGAATCAACAACAAGTGGGACACAATCGTGAAGTGGAATGAAATTTATTGGATGTGTCAAACTTTTTTAACAATTAAAAAACTGAAAAGTGGGGCGTGCAATATTATTCGGCCCCCTTGCGTTAATACTTTGTAGCTCCGCCTCTTGCTGCAGTTCCAGCTGCAAGTCTCTCGGGGTTTGTCTCCATCAGGTTTGAACATGGAGACACTGAAGTTCTGCCCATTCTTCCTGCAGAACAGCTCGAGCTCAGTGAGGTTGGATGGAGAGCGTTTGTGAACAGCAGTCTTCAGCTCTTTCCACAGATTCTTGATTGGATTCAGGTCTGGACTTTGACTTGGCCATTCCAACACCTGGATACGTTTATTTGTGAACCATTCCATTGTAGATGTTTCTTTATGTTTTGGATCATTGTCTTGTTGGAAGATAAATCTCCGTCCCAGTCTCAGGTCTCCTGCAGACTCAAACTGGTTTTCTTCCAGAATGGTCCTGTATTTGGCCCCATCCATCTTCCCATCAATTCTGACCATCTTCCCTGTCCCTGCTGACGAAAAGCAGGTCCAGACCATGATGCTGCCACCACCATGTTTGACAGTGGGGATGGTGTGTTCAGGGTGATGAGCTGTGTTGCTTTTACACCAAACATCTCGTTTTGCATTGTGTCCAAACAGTTTGATTTTGGTTTCATGTGACCAGAGCACCTTCTTCCACATGTTTGGTGTCTCCCAGGTGACAAACTTTAAACAAAACTTTTTATGGATATCTTTGAGAAATGGCTTTCTTCTTGCCACTCTTCCATAAAGGCCAGATTTGTGCAGTGTACGACTGATTGTTGTCCTATGGACAGACTCTCCCACCTCAGCTGTAGATCTCTGCAGTTCATCCAGAGTGATCATGGGCCTCTTGGCTGCATCTCTGATCAGTCTTCTCCTTGTTCCAGATGAAAGTTCAGAGGGACGGCCGGGTCTTGGTAGATTTGCAGTGGTCTCATACTCCTTCCATTTCAATATGATTGCTTGCACAGTGCTCCTTGGGATGTTTAAAGATTGGGAAATCTTTTTGTATCCAAATCCGGCTTTAAACTTCTCCACAACAGTATCTCAGACCTGCCTGGTGTGTTCCTTGGTCTTCATGATGCTCTCTGCACTTTGAACAGAACCCTGAGACTATCACAGAGCAGGTGCATTTATACGGAGACTTGATTACACACAGATGGATTCTATTGATCATCATCGGTCATTTGGGACAACATTGGATCATTCATAGATCCTCACTGAACTTCTGGACTGAGTTTGCTGCTCTGAAAGTAAAGGGGCCGAATAATATTCCACGCCCCACTTTTCAGTTTTTTATTTGTTAAAAAAATTTGACACATCCAATAAATTTCATACCACTTCACGATTGTGTCCCACTTGTTGATTCTTCACAAAAAATTAAAATTTTATATCTTTATGTTTGAAGCCTGAAATGTGGCAAAAGGTTGAAAAGTTCAAGGAGGTCGAAAACTTTCTCAAGGCACTGTATCTCTCAATACTTTGTGATGTTGTTTTTGCTGTTCATACATCAAAGCATTCAGCTCACTCAGGACATGGGTGCTTTGACTTTAGGTTTTATTACTTTAAGACTTTTCAAAATATTTACCGGTACCTTTTATTTGCAACTATTTTCCTCAGAAATACACAGAGATCTTCAGTTATTTTAAAATCTATCTTTACAATCTGCTTCTAGCCACATTTCTGACTTCTTATGCTACTTTAGCTGAACTTTTGCTACTATTAGCTTTTAACTATTGTTCTGCTACTCTTTGCTCAGAGTTAGTGTTTTGATAGTTTTAGCTTTTAGCCAGCCTTTAGATTATTTTAGCCATTAACTACTCTTTGATACTTTTAGCTTAGAACTAGCCTTTTGCTACTTTTAACTTCTAGACAGAGTTTTTATACTTCTAGCTTATGTCTAGGCTTTAATACATCTAGCCATTAGCTAACCTTTTGTTACCTTTAGCTAAACTTTTGGCTAACCTTTTGCTACTTTTAGCTAACCTTTTGCTACTTTTAGCTAACCTTTGCTACTTTTAGCTAACCTTTTGCTACTTTTAGCTAATCTTTGCTACTTTTAGCTAACCTTTTGCTACTTTTAGCTAACCTTTTGCTACTTTTAGCTAACCTTTTGCTACTTTGAGCTAACCTTTTGCTACTTTTAGCTAATCTTTGCTACTTTTAGCTAACCTTTTGCTACTTTTAGCTAACCTTTTGCTACTTTTAGCTAATCTTTGCTACTTTTAGCTAACCTTTGCTACTTAGCTAACCTTTGCTACTTTTAGCTAACCTTTTGCTACTTTTAGCTAACCTTTTTCTACTTTTAGCTAACCTTTGCTACTTTTAGCTAAACTTTTGCTACTTTTAGCTAACCTTTTGCTAAACATTTCTACTTTTCTTTGCTCCACCCTTCACAGTAAGTCTTTGACTTTTAGATAAACCAAGAGATAAACCGTTTTTTTTAACGGAAATGTGGTTGAACCTCAAACCTTACCAGTTTCCGCAGCTTATTGATTATGGTTTCTTGGTACTGGTGGAACAGTTTGATAAACCGGGTTCACCATGGGGGGAAGCGTCTCCATGGTAACAATCGTGTTCTGTCTCTGCCGTCAGACGAGCTTTAAGCCCATCGTTTTCTCAGATTCTGTACAATCTGATGGTGTTGGGAACGTGACGCCTGTTCTGGTCTTGCAGGAGAGTGTCGGGCAGCACCTGTTCCTGTTGGTGAGCGCACTCACCCAGCAGGGGTCCAAAGGCCCAGTGGACTGCGTGACGGAGAAGGCTCTGTACACCCTGAGCGAGGACTGGCTGCTGTGGCAGGCTCAGGACTTCAGCCCTGTGGTACAAACACACGCCTTGCAGCCCCAACACCTTCAGCGGGTTATTTAACCTCAAACAGGAAGTGCTTGTCGCTTATTTCTCAGAATATGCGCTAAACTCCACTGCATTTGTGTATTTTTGTTTGTGCTTGCCCTCACAGTTTTGGTCAGTTCTGCTTCTACGTCTCAATACTTCTTGATTGTCTTGTTTGTTTGTTTTTAGTCTCCTGGTTCTGTCACAACACAACTCTGGTTTCACCTCAGAACACACTTAGAGTATAAATAGTCAAAGTGTTACTTTAGCGTGTTGGTGTGAACGCTCAGAAATAAACATTAAAAGCTGTGAAAGCTGCTTTCTCCACTTTAGCAACTCTTGCGGCTAAATGTGACCTCAGCTTCAACTGCTCCGCGGTACCTAAAAGGACAAATAGTCTTCAGCTGCAGGACCGTCTCAAAGAAAAATATACTTTTATTACAAATCCTAAAACAAACACACATGAGCTGTTGAGGAGAAATAAACTAGTTTAAATATATTTACAAGATACGATTAGAACTTTATTGATCCCGCTGGAAATTGTTAAAACGCTGAATATGAACGCTGAGTGGTGGCTGGAAGATACTGAACACGCTGAAGCTGAGTGGTGTGGTAGCTAAAAGCTAAAAGTCTAGTTAAAAGTAAGAAAAGTCTGGCAACGAGTTAAAAATAAAAATAAAAAGCTAAATGAAAGTCTCAAAGGGTAGCCAAAACCGAAAGAGGCAGGGAAATAGCTTAAAGATAAAACAAGCAAAACAATAGTTAAAAGTCAAAATTAGCAAATAGGTAGCTAAAAGCTAAAAGTAGCTAAGGTGTAGCTAAAAGTAAAAAAAAAGAAAAAGATAATTTAAAGGTCAAGTCAAGTCAGATTTATTTATAGAGCACATTTAAAACAGAAACTGTTACCAAAGTGCTTTAACAAAGGTAACAAAGAGCTAGTTAAGTCAGGGCTAGCTAAAAGCTAAAAAAGCAAGAGTAGCTGAAAACTAAAATTAACTAAAGGTGAGCTGAAAGTAGCAAATTCCTATCTAAAACCTAAAGAAGCAAAAAAGCTAGCAAAAAGACAAACATACCAAAATGGTAGCTAGAAGCTAAAAGTAACTAAAGGCTAACTTAAGATAAAATTAGCAAAATGCTAGAAATAGTAGCAAAACGTTAAAGCAGAAGCTTAGCTGGAAACGAACAGCTAAGTTAGTTACGGTAGCAAAATGATGAATGAAAAGACCAAAACTCTAGCTAGAAGCTAAAGGTATCACAGGACTAGCTAAAAGCTAAAAAAGCAAAAGTAGCTGACAGTTAAAAGTAACAAAAGAGTAGCTAAAAGCTACAATGTCACAAAGTGAGCTGAAGTAATTAGATTTCAAACAATAATAGAAACAAACAAATAGAAATAACAAATAATAACACTATAATAATAATAATAATAATAATAATAATAATAATAAAATTAGGGGCCGAGATGGGGTAGAGGCAGGGCAGCTGACTCGGGACCTGAAAGTCCCAGTCTCGATCTCCAGCCATTCCCACATGTCGTGGTGTCCCTGAGCAAGACACCCAATCCCTAACTGCTACCTGGGCACCTACATAGTTGTCCACTGCTCCACCTGCGTGTATCTCAGGTGTGATGGGTTACATGCAGAGAACTAATTTCAACATTGTAGGGGAACAAACAAGGATGACAACACATATCACTTATATATAATATTAATAATAACATAGTAATAACTAATAGAAACAACAATAATAAGGTTGAGTTTATCTGAACGGTCCCGTTCTCAAATGTAGAGTCATCTCAGCTGAACTCGAAGAACTGTGCAGATCTGAAAAAATGTGCGTTTCCCCATTCCAGAAGCTGAAGGTGCTGTTCGCCGTGGGCGGGGCCGGCGAGGTGAGCGAGCCCCTGGAGGTGGACGCTCTCAGCTGCGACGCCATCGAGCAGCTGAAGGAAAAAATCCTGTCCACCTTCAAGACCAAGTTCGGTTTTCCCTACAACACAACACTCAGAAACATCTGTATCGGTGAGTCACTCAGAAACATCTGTATCGGTGAGTCATGTCGGTTAAATCTGATTTTCTGCAGAAAAGATCCATCTGGAAAAAAAATAAAAGCCGACCATTCCCTGGAGGAATGCATGTCGCCCGCCACCTTTCATCCTGAAAGGTCAAATCTTGAAAAAGCCTTTATGCACGATATGTCTTCTTTTAGCTGCTCCCTTCTTCAGGGGTCGCCACATCGAACTCACAAAGATTTGGGATCGTTTTTACGCTGGACGCCCTTCCTGACACAACAGACCACCGAGCTACCACAGCTCTCTGTGTGGAGCAGAGGGCTGCCATCTAGAGCAGCTGGGGGTTAGGAGCCTTGCTCAAGGGCCCAGGGTGGGGGCAGGTGTGAGTGCTCCACCTTTCCTCTACCCACATTTTGATGTCGAGGGGCCAAGGAGTCGAACTGACAACCTTCCAATCACAGGCTCACCTTCTCTAACCTCTGCACCACCACTCCCCCTCCATGCATGAACTGAAACTCCACACTTTAAACCTGCGTGAACGACTCTCGGCTGCTAACACAACATTTGTAAAATGAACCGTTAGTCATTTCTGTGTCGGTTATTTTGATTAGATGTGGCGGCCATCTTGAATTAACCGACTCTAAAAAAAAGTTCATCAGTTGCAGATGTCCATCCGTTGATTATTTTTGGAGTTTCAGTGAAATCCTTTCAGTTGTTGAGGATATTTTGCTAACAGACATGTAATCTTGTGCAATGAGTAGCACTTAGAATATGTGTTGTGAATGACTCTCAGGCACTACCACCCCAAATGTCAACAAAATATCTGCAAAATTGACTGAGCTTGTGTCGATCAGCGATGGAAGCCGTCTTGAGTTGAATCAACTCCAAATATTAGACGCAGAAGCACGTCTAAATGTTGTTTCAGTTTTATTAAAACCCATCTAGTGATTCATAAGATATTGTGCTAACAGACACATAAACACAGGCATGGCCAAAATATTATCGCTCTTACCTTTAAGTGGCAGGTGATAAATTTAGCTGCATAGTTTTTTCAGAGTGGATAATAATACTTTTTTTTTTTTTTCACAATAAAAAACATTTTGTGTTAAACTTGCCAATTTACAACAAATGCACTTTTAGTTGTTTGGATAAAAAGCTGACCTTGTGTTTAGAAATGCCTCAAACTGTTCAAAATCTTGAGGAAAAGCTGTAAAGTTGCTGAAACCTTCATGTTTCTGGTGACTCTGCAGTTAAACGATGACACAAACGTTTCTTCTGTCCTGTAGAATATGAGAAGGATGGGCGTTTCCTTCCTCTTCAGGAAGTGGATTCGACCTCTGAGGTTATCGGGGAGTTGAAGAAGCTCAACACACTCCGGCACTACCAGGTGAGACCCGAACAAACTTCTGGCTGGGTCATTCTGTCAAGCTCGTGCAGAAATCCTTGGTGGATGTGTGGCGGTGCTGTGACGGTGAACTGCACGTGTTGGATCGAGGTTTGATTTACATGAAAATGAAACTCCCCCCACTGCTGCTCTTTTCTGACACTAATTGCAGAGCTGCATGAACATGTACACCTCATGAACAACTCAATAAATTTCTATTATGCTTCCAAAGTAATAATTGGCAGTCATCTACAAGTTTTAGAGTAGAGGTGGAGGGCGATACAGTTCCTTGAAGAAACGCTCGATGTTTTGTTCGTTGAGACTTTGAAATTAGTGACATTTAGGTAGAAAGCTGCTGTGATGTTTTAAACATGAGCAGAATTTATTTTAGCAGGACAAAGCAACATACTTTGAATAGAGAAGTAACTTTTGTGTTGGCGACGCTTACGTGAGATTTTCCTGGTAGTAGAAACGAAATGGTTTCGTTAAAGCAGCGTGACAGGAAATGGAAAGCTTCTCATTTTGTTAAGTAAAAGAAAACTGTGATGGAAGGGGAGGTTACTAATGGCTTTATAATAAGATAAGAGATCATCATCCATCAGCGTCGTCTTTGAGTGGAGAAATGTTTCAGTCTGGTGCGAAACGATGCAGACCGCAGGAAACTCGTCTCTGCTGCTGTCATTTCAGTGCATTTATACGTTTAGAACAAGTGACTTCTATCTGCCCTCTGGGTCTGTTTGTGGTTCTGTAGGTGGAAGACGGAGGGACAATCAAAGTGCTTTCGAAGAAAACTCATCCTCCTCTCAGCCCACAAGGGAGTCTAAAAGGTATAAACTATGCACATCTGAAAAATATCCTCCCAGTCTTGTGTTAGCAATAATATTGTCAGAATGGACCAACTTAAGGAACAAGTAACGGTTAACAATATTCTGTAATTTGGCGGTCCTCAAGGGTACGTTTTCGGTACCAGTCTATTGATCATTCATTAGTTTAAACCAAGTGTGTCCTAACTGGAACAGCTAAAACATGCAGGTGACCCTTGAGGACTAGAAACGGACATCACCATACCATACCAATTTATTTATATAGCACTTAAAACAGCAACAAGGCCAACCAAAGTGCTGTACAAAAGAAAACAAACATGCACAGCGGACAGGAAAACATAAAATAGAAATACAGGTACAAATAGCAGCAGAAGCTAACTAAAATGGCCAACAGAGTAGAGAACAGACCGGACCAAAACAAATCACACCGTGTTAAAGACAAGCGAATAGAAGTGGGTCTTCAAGCGAGACTTAAAGACTGAGAGTGTGGGAGCCTGCCGGACACTCAGTGGCAACTCATTCCACAGTCGTGGACCTGCGACAGAGAAAGCCCTGTCACCTCTGAGCTTACGACGGGTTTCTGGGACTGAGAGAAGCATCTGGTCTGCTGACCTCAGAGAGCGCGGTGGGACATATGGCTGCAGAAGATCAGTGAGATAGGATGGGGCGGAACTGTTCAGTGATTTAAAAACATACATGAGAATTTTGAAATGGATCCGAAGGTGAATGGGTAGCCAGTGCAGGGAGGCCAAAACTGGCGTGATGTGCTCTCTATAGCCTGTACCAGTTAAAAATCGGGCTGCAGCATTTTGGACCAGTTGTAGACGAGCAATTGAGGACTGACTGATTCCAAACAGAAGTGAATTGCAGTAATCAAGCCTAGATGTTATGAAGGCGTGGATCACTGTCTCAAGGTTCTTTTTGGAGAGTATAGGTTTCAGCTTAGACAGCCGTCTCAGCTGAAAAAAACAGGATTTGACCATCATGTTTACGTGACTGTTGAGTTTTAAGGACGGGTCCATTATCACCCCCAGATTAGTGACCTTTTGTTTCTCTAGTGGGGCTAGAGAGAAAAGGTCAGTGTCATGGTTCATGAGTGAGCCACTGGGATGGAACAGCATGACTTCAGACTTCTTCTCATTGAAGCTTAAGAAGTTTAAAGCCATCCAGTCCCGGATGTCAAGCCAGGCAGTCA